GCCACCTTCTCAGCCCCTTACAAAGGATCTTTAAAGAACATATAACTCTCCTAGATTTCTTTGACATAAAATACTTTGGTCCTGTTGGACATTTTCAATTGCTTCCCTAAGTTTTAAAATAGTTTTCCAACAATTGGTTTTTGAATTTGCTAAACTTTCCTATTCCTTTCTGGGTCCTTATAAAAAAAAAAAAAGTGACAAGGAGCTAGGGATGTAACTCAGTACAGCACATGCACAAAGCCCCAGGTTCAATCACCAGCACCAAAAAATAAAGACCAGAAAATTAAATGCTCCTAAATTTACTCTTCAAAAGTAGTTATAGTCCTAAGATAGTTCAAGGTTTTTTTATGTCTGGCATCTTACTCATTTTTTTATATATATAATTAGGATTTTTCAATCTATTCATGCCCAACTACTTTAAAACAAGTTCTGTGATTAGCCCCTTGTTTCGTTGTGCTAGCCCTGGGATAGGCAAGCACTTGGCTGCTGAGCTACACCCCAGCCCCCATTCTTCATTTCTTCTGCCCTGTCTTTTTCTCTCTCTCACTCATGTGAGGAGACCGGGTCTGCCAGCAGTGAGTGGTGCCTTCTGGCTGTTGTCTCCATAGTTCTGTCGTCTCCATAGTGGTGTGCAATGGCCCTGTTCACCAAGGCAAATTTCTGGGGTGGGGTATTCATTCCTCTCGAGGAAATCCAGGTCCTAATTAAAGAAATCCATCTGGACCCTTCCTTACCCCACCTCCCATGCCAACTACTTAGATGCAGTTGATGTGCTCAATCTGTTTGCAATCAAGGTTAATTATTACATCACTCTGGGAGCAATTTATTAATGAAACACAGCTATCTTGTGTGGTGCCTAATTGGCCTCTACTTTAAGAACTAACTTCTCTGCTAATTTAACAGGTAAGGCCTATTAAGTTAATAGAGAAGGGGATGGACAAGCCTCAAAATAAGGCACTACGAAATCATACAATAGAAAAAACAATTGGGTGTCTTTACTAGTTACTGTAAGGATCTCTCTGAAAACATGACTTGTCTTTCATTCAGGAAACAGAATCCATTGTGCTCATCTAAACAAAAACAAACCAATGACAAAAGCCCACAAAGAAATTTTTTTAATGTTCCTAAGAAATAAGTTCCAGTTTTTCATAGGACATTTCCTGGGGGGAAAATTTTGAAAAAAAAAAACAAATTAAAATTAGCATTGGGGTCCATGTTGCCTAAATTGTATATGAGCCAACAACAGATTTCAATGGAGATGCCCTGCTGAAGGAGGCAAACTCAGGCTGAAGCATGTCAGCTGGTAGGGACATGGTCAAGTGTGCAATGGAGAGATACTGGCATTGTCTTGGCACCCCGAGAGATAAGCAAGGCTGAGAGACTGTGAGAGGCAGAAAACAGGAAAGTGTGTTTGCCAAAACACACACACATTCCAATGAACTGCTAGTAATTGCTGCTAGTAATCTTCTAAAAAGTGTAGGACAAAGGAAAAACTACAAGAAGGTGTCTCCACATTTCTAATTCAAGACTTAAAAAAAAGGATCTGACTCAAAAGTTAAAGATGCTAAAACCCGATTGCAATCTCACTCTGCACAGAGCCCTGACGAATCACTGTGCACGAGTCACATACAACTACAGTCAGAGAACAGCAGAAAAGCAATCAGTGCCAGGCTACAGGATGCTAATCCTCCCCAGCCCCTGCCAGGTGCCAGGGGCTGTCCTTTGCGTGCATCGTTGCTTTTCATTCACACAGCAAGGTAAGCTTATAACTCCATTAGAGGAAACCAGGCCTCAAAGAAGTCCCACACATGAGCACCTCTGTCCTCCTTTGGGCAACAGAGCAGAACTTGAAAGCACTTGAAGCTGTTCTTTACCCCATGTCAATTTTAATTTCCTTTAGAAGACATTAGAGGATGGAAGGAAAGCCATGTAGTTTTGTAACCTTGCTTGCTTGTAATATGCGCCTATAAGTGACCCGGAGCTCTAGAGATAGGGCCAACATTCCAAGGGTAGAGTATTAAATCTTGGGAGATGTGTTGAGGCAACCCGTGAAACTATCTTCACTGTGGGAACAAGAGGAGTTAATGGGTAGGCATGAACTATCCATTAGGGTGAATTTTGAATCATTCATTGAATGGTATTGGTAGCAAGAAGACAGTTTTGGAAACAGACGGCCCTGCTTCAATATTCAAACTCCACCACATACTGGGGATGTGGGAAAGTCTGGGCATTACAACTACCATTATGGCAAGTTCCAGATAAACTTAAGTCAAAAAGAATAAGAAAGAGGAATGCTAGTGGCGTATGCCTGTAATCCTAGCTACTCAAGAGAGTAAAAAAGAGAGTTCAAAGCCACCGGGGCAAGAAAGTCTGTGAAAGTCTTACCTCCAATTAGCCACCAGAAAGCCCCAAGTGGAGCTGTGCTCAAGTAGTAGAGCACTGCCAAAAAACAACAAACTAAGAACCGTGAGTTCAAGGCCCAATACAGGCACCAAGAAGCAGCAGCTGTCTTTACAGAATAGGAACAATGCACCTAAGAATAAGGAGCTTGTCCACATTTAGGCACTATCTTGGAGGTTTGATCTTTGGCAAGTCACAAACTCTGTTTCTTTCTATGAAATGTGAATCCAGGCACCATTTCCTCTTAGGAGTTTGTCATAAGACCCTGAGACTGTGTTAAGTACCTGGATTATATTAGGCAACCAGAGTATATTATATCAATGTACCATACGAAATCATTAACATAAATCTTGTCAATATCATAGTTTCTACCTTATTTCTTCTTCAACATTAGCTTTATTATATCACTTAAAAATGCTACCAGGGAGCCGTGTGCCAGTGGCTCACACCTGTAAACCTAGCTACTCAGGAAGCTGAGATCTGAGGATCACAGTTCAAAGCCAGCCCAGGCAGAAAAGCCCATGAGACTCTTATCTCCAATAAGCCACTAGAAAAACTTAAGCTGTAGCTCAAGTGGTAGAGTGCTCACCTTGAGCTGAAGAGCGCAAGGACAGCGCCCAAGCCCAGAGTTCAAGCCCCATGACCAACAACAACAAAAATGCTACCAAATATTTAAAAGATGTCACTATAGTTTGATGAAAACTGGGTCTTAAAAAGGACTTAAAGATATTTTCTGTGTGTTGTTTTTTAAAGATCAATATCATCTAAGTGAGGCACAATCATTTCTTAGATTTTTTTTTAACTAAAAGAATTTTTCTTTAAAAATATACTTCATTAAATAACGTGTATAGACCATCTGAGAAAGCATACATTAGTACTATTAACAAGAGCTTGGCCAATTTTACTAGTAAGAATATTGTTGCTGGGATTAGCTCAGTGGTAGAGCACTTGCCTAGCATGTGGAAGGTGCTGGATTTAATCCCCAGCCGTAGGAAAGAGAAAGCAAAGGAAGTTTCTAACTACCCCCATCTCAGCAATGGGTTATGGACCCCTGTGACCAGTCTATTATGCGAACTCTGGAAACTATCCATCTTTGCAAAAACTGCTTTCCACTGCCCCCCCCCACACCCCGCCTCCTTTGTTTAAGCTAGTCACAAGAAATCTGAATACATTAGAGTTGTGAACATCTAATCTGCTAACTTTGCAAACACATCTACCACGGTTTATGAATCTGAGCGACTTCTGTGAAGTTCAGATTGCAATCTGGGCTGGGTCGTTTTTCGACAAGTCATCAGAAAACAAGGAGAACATATACACGTATAAAACGGATGGTGCTGGCCAAGGATTACTTTTTCTCCTTCTCATCCGTAATGTCACCTTAATGTCCCATCCATGCTGAAGCCTTGTCCAACCTTTAGGAAATCAGCACCTACCGGTTCAAGCACGGGGTCTTTGGTGAAGGCTTCATTTCTGACTCTGGTGCAGTCTTTGATTTCCTCTACTTCCTACTGCCCCTGTCCCAGGTTTGATCATTCACAGAAAATTCAAGCTTCCCCCCCCGCCCCCCCCCCCCCCTGCCGAACGTCCAACATAAAGCCTGATTGGTCCTTATTTGTCTCTTTAAAGAGATGGGAACCCAAAACATGTTTCCTAACTGGTTTGCTAGGAAAGCGCTGACGGCATCGGAACCCAAGTTTGGCCCTAACACTTTGAGATATCATCAGCCCAAGAAGGTGGACCGGGTGCCAGCCTGGACTGCCCAGCTAGGTGGGGTACTGGGGTTGAAGGAAGTCATTTGAGTGCGGGGGGCGGGGGGGGGGGACGGTGAGAGGGGGAGGGGAGCAGGGGGAGAGAAGACCTCAGCCCCCCGCGGGGCACAATCGAAGGCTGTACCCCTCCCCCGGCTGCCCCGGGGCTGAGAACCAACAGGGATGGCGGAGGAGGATGGTGGGGGGGAGGCTGGGGAGGGCACTCAGCTGAGGATGGAGGGGGCGCGGGGCTGGCGCCCACCGCCGGCCCGCACGCCCGGCTTCTGTCCCCTCGGGTCGCGCAGGTAAGCGAGGACGCGCGGGACCCCGGGAGACCCCCACATCCCCTCCGCACCCCGGCGCTGACGAAGGCGGAGCGGGGAGGAAGACCGGGGAAGGGGGGTGGGGGACAGCCCCGGTTCTCCCGGGCGATGCCGCCCACCCGCGCGTCCGCCGCGACCGCGATTTCTCCTCGCGTGCCCCGTCCCAGGCCCCGGAGAGAGCCGGGCCGCGCCCAGCCGGCGCGGGGGGTCCAGGGCTCGAGGGGTCCCGGGGGCCCCGGGCGCGGGGCTGGCGTGGGGAGAGGTTCGGCGGGTCCCGGGCTGGAGCAGCGGTGGCCCCGAGGACCCCCCCCCCCCGCCACGCCAGGGCGGGCGACCCCGTTCTGTCCGTCCACAACTCGGGCGGGGGGGGGGGGGCGGGAATGCGAGCGGGCTCGGGCTGCGGCGCGCGCCCCAGCGCACCCAGCCCGGTGGCCCCGGCGGGCCGCCCCCCGCCGTCCCTCCGCAGGTCCCCGCCATCCTCCCGCGGGTCCCCCCGCCCCCCGCATCCCCTCGCGGTCCCCGCCCTTACCTCTGGGCGCGAAGGCGCGGCCCGGGGCTCCGGCGGGGCTCGGCGGGCGGCGGCGGCGGCCGTCAGCCGTGGGGCCGCTGCACGGGGCTTCGGCGTGGCCGGAGCACTGCGGCCTCGGCGGCGCCTCCCTCCTCGTCCTCTCCGCGGGCTCCGGGCGGGGACGCAGCGCCCGCCCCGCCCCGCCCCGCGGGCCTCCGCCTCCAGCGCCGCCCCGCGCGCAGCCCGGCCCGGCAGCCAGCGCCGCCCAGCGCCCGGGCCCGGGGTCGCCGCCGCGCGCCCCGCTCCGCCGCGCCAGCCCCGCTGTGACGCAGGCGGCGGCGCGCGGGAACCTCCGCCCCGCGGGGCCTCCCCCGGCCCGGGCGGGCGGGCGGGCGGGCGGCGGGGCGGCGGCCCCAGAAGGTCCGTCCACCAGGCGGGTGGGGGGGGGGGAAGCGACTGAGCTCCCCCACCCCGGCCCTGAGGACGCTTGGAAACCCGGGGTTCTGGGCTCTGAGGATCATCGAGAAAGCGGGGTGCGTTTGGGCGCACCCCTTCCTCGGAGAACCGCAAGGGACAGATGGGGGCGTTGAGAGAGATGGAGACGGAGAAGGGCAGAACCCCACGATCTGGGTGAGCCCCCGGACAACCGGACCTCCCACGAGTGCCGCCCCCCCAAACTTTCCCCACCGGCTCCCCGATTTCCAAGTTGCAGATTTTCGGGGAGACTCTGGTTGAAAACTTCACCCATGATGGGGGAGGGGGGGGTGTGCGCAAAAGAGTTGGGAGGGCACTGCCGGCCACCTGTTGGGTGGTACTGCCCGTCGGGGAGGGGCTCGGCCTCCTTCCCGGAGCCGAACCCCGCTTCCCCCCTCCGTGCCCCCTCCTCCCCACCCCCGTTTCGGGATGAAAAGGCAAATGCTGACATCTTGGAAGCTGGCCACTCTCCGTATTGGGGGACGAGGCAGGTGGCGGGCGGGGGGAGTCTGCCCATTGGGAAAAATGTACCCGATTACTGCAGAATAGAGTCTTCTGGAAGTACCTCACTAATACCAGCTCTTTTGTTGCGGGGGGGCAGAATTGGGGTTTGAGGTCCGCTGGCTTGGTTGGTGTCCACCGTGGAGCCACACCTCCAGCCCGGGTTTGTGCTGGTTATTTTGGAGATGGAGTCTAGGAGTGGATTTTTCTGCTGCTGATGGCCTCCTCCGAGTCTCAGCCTCCTGGGTATATAAACCACCGGTTTCCAGCCATAGCAGCTATTCTGAGAGCACCAGAACTTCAGCTACCGCTCTTGGCAGGAGAGAGACAGATGTTCATACAAACTGTACATACACCGCTACTCACATTGTACAGAAATAGACAACCAGTAGTCATACCACTGAGTTGATGTGCCTTTAACACACCGAGTCTTCAGAAAACAGCCATCTCCTTGTACTTCGAAGCTAAACTTAACATCAATATTGACCAGATTCCTTTTCTTCTTCCTTCTCTTTAACTGTTTTTCCTACTCACCCATCAAAATACGAGATTTTTTAGTTCCAGGACTGTTGTTGGCATTGGAAGACTGCCTTCTGGCCTTAAGAGATGACCCTTAGTCCAGCCTCTTTTTCTTTATTTCCTTCTCTCTTTCTTCTTTCCTTCCTTCCTTTTCCTTCTCTTCTTCCTTCCTTCCTTTTTCTCTTTTGCACAAGACCAGAACTCAAGCTTGGTATTTGAAGCTTTGGCTCAAATTGGCTCACTGGCTGATGGTCTACCGCCTGAGCCATGCCTCCACACCAGGCCAGAAAATCTAGGGGAGGGTGGGCAGCTTCTTTCCTAGGCATCAGATAGGCAATATCTTGAGAATCACTGGAGGGAAAGTAGAGGCTGGATTTAGCAATTTGCTAAAAATTCAAGTACCTGCTAAATGTAGGTAGATGCAAAAATATTCCCTCCAATGTCTTACCTTCATTTAAGTTCTCAGTGAAAGTATTAAAGGCACAACTCTCGCACAAATGGCCTTAGTCTCCGAGTGCCTTTTGAAGGCGCTTCTCTCCTCCTTGTATCTGCGCCCTGACTGCAGAATCCAAGCAGCCTTGGATACCCAGAGCCAAGGCACCACAGAGCCCCACATCTTTGACCCAGGTCACATAGGCTTAAATCTCTATTCTTCCTCTATACACTCAGGAAAGTGTCCCTCCTTTCAACTCTTCCTGCCACCTCTATTGGTAATATAGGTATATTACCATAAGACTTGGATACTATACTTAAAGCACCACTAGATGCGAGAAGTTTTTGTACCTATTATCCCTCACTGCTCTAACAACTAAAGAACTGGAAGAGCATCTCAGTGGCATTTGCAGATGTAGGACTTGAACCTCCTGCAAGCCAAACTTAGATCACCCTGGGCTTGTCTTCTTAGATCTGGACAAGCATCAACAGGCAGTGCCTATGCATATTAAATTGTGAGCATTCCCAGTCTAACAGCCACTGTGTTGTAGTCCTTAGGTCATTTTTTTCTTATCTTATAGCCTTGTAAACCTGAAATCTAGCCCTCTCACTTCAGTTGAGCCAACTCAAGTCACCCATGCTCCCAAGCTCTGGGTGAATCAACATCTTATCAACTTGTGTGAAGGATGGGTCCCAGGTCACAGAGAAACAGAAGTCTTACCCCTGACTTCATGATATTTAGTATTTAGGGGAGTGAGAACCTGAGTGTGCATGCACTTTGAAGTTTGCAACTTGTGTCACTAGTTGTATGACTCTTAGTTTCATTCACCATTCAACTTGACCTTCTTCATCACCTATGAAAACATACCTGCTTTGCAGATCTGTGAGGAATGTGTAATAATATATCTTGTAGGCTGCATGGAAATGGTCATAATGTTACCTTGTTTTGTCCTGTTAGTGACACATACGTCCACCCAAAAAAAAAAAAAAAAACAAAAACAGCCTGGGTGAGGCCATTGTTTGGAAGTATAACTCCAAAGTCCTTTTCCCTGGGAGCTCTCTGAGGCTCCAGGCAAGTGTCATTCTCCTTTTTCTTTTTTGTTGGTCATGAGGCTTGAACTCTGGGTCTGGGCACTGTCCCTCTGGTCTTCAGCTCAAGGGCTAGCATTCTACCACTTGAACCACAGTGCCACTTCCAGTTTTCTGGTGGTTAATTGGAGATAAGAGTTTCATGGACTTTCCTGCCTGGGCTGGCTTTGAACCATGATCCTCAGATCTCAGCCTCCTGAGTAGCTAGTATTACATTGGTGAGCCACCAGCACCTGGCTCATTCTCCCTTTCTTGTGCTCCCATAGCACTCAGTTGGAAGCTTCCTCAGCACTTACCAGGCAGAGTGCAATGTCACTTAATCTCTCGAAATGTTGACTTCACTATCAAGCCTGTGAGCCTCTTGGCAAAACAGCTGTATCTCTGTCTCCATCTATCAGCTCCTCCCACAGGGGTGGCAATTAATTGCTGAAAGAATAACTTTTGTAAATATTTTCACTGCTGTTGTCAATTCTAACTTTCACGATAACTCAGAGGCTCCAAAACCTGACTCTTTTATTCATGAAGAATTTATACTCTCAGGGCTACTATGACCATTTCCATACAGCCTACATGACTCACACCTGTAATCCTAGACAATCAGGAGACTGTGGTCTGAGGATGGCAGCTCAAAGCCAGCCAGGCAAGAAGTTTGTGAGACTTTTTATTCCCAAGTAACCACCAAGAAAGCCAGAAGTGGAGATAGGGCTCAAGTGGTAGAACACTAGCCTTGAGCACAGAAGTTCAGGGACAGCATTCAGGCCCCTAGTTCAAGCCCCAGGACCAGCACATACAAAACGTTTTATACTAAAATTATATATTCTGTATGTATATCTACTGAACACTTGATTTTTCAGTGCTGGAATTATTTCAGGTGAACCTGTTCTGTTTCTATTTGATGGTGGTTGCTATGGCCTGGTAACATGGAAGTGAAATTGAACTTCTAAACCCAAACCACCGGCAGGGTTTTACCCTGCATTTTTCACACACCTTGGGCACAGCTGCTCCCCAGCCCATCTCTGAGAGCTTGTGGGAAGGAAGCGAGCTAACAGAAAACATCCTGTGTTTTCAGTTTTCAGCTCCTAGTGTTTCTGCAACCATTAGCACTTTCTCACAATTAATAGCTGCAAAAGAAAAACCCCACTTTTAGCAACAGTTTTGAAATCCTTCACGTGGCACTATTGAAAACGCTGGTGCCGCTGGGCACCAGTAGCTCATACTTGTTGTAATCCTAGGTACTCAGGAGGCTGAGATCTGAGGAGCAGAGTTTGAAGCTAGCCCTGGTAAGAAAAGTCTGTGAGGTTCTTGTCTCCAATTAACCACAAAAAGCTGGAAGTGGAGCTGTGGATCTCAAGTGCTTGAGTGCTAGTCTTGAGGAAAAGAGCTTAGAGACAGCACCCAGGTCCGGAATTCAAGCCCCATTACCTGCACACACAAAAAGAAAAAGAAAGTTAGTGCAAACGACCTACAATATGTTAAAGCTTTAGGACAAATAATTCTCAAATTGGCCTTGTAAATTCTAGCTTCCTCCCATGAGAGAGAATTGTTTGGTCCCAGTCATTGGTAAAAAATTTCTTTGAAAACACTAATACTGGATTAGCACTTATAGTGTACATGATGTGGGCTAAGTACTAGCTTTCTATGCATCATCTCATTTAACCACTATAGCTACACATTAAATGAGTACTACTCTTCTCCACTTGACAGAGGAGAAAACCAAAGCCCACTACAATCATGGTCATGTGATCTTTGGTTAGGTCACATGACCATGAGTGAGAGTGCAGATTTGCATGTAGGTCAGTCTATGTGATTACACATAATGTAACAGCTTTTGTTACATTATGTGGATTTTGTGCTCAGTTCTCAAAACAGCATAAAAAGAGGTTATCTTTTTAAGAATGTGTACTAAGTCCCTTCCAACTACTGAGGAGTTTACGTTAAGGAGGTAATTTGTGGCTGGCCCCTAGATAACCATCAATAAGATTTGATTTCTCAGGAAACCAACCTACCATTTAAAGGATTAGA